TCCTATCCTCAGAGCCAGGAGCTTTACACACAATCCAGGTTCCCACATGGGTGGCAGCAGCCTGACTACTTGAGTCGTGATCGCTGCCTCCCACCATCTGCATTGGTTGCAAGCTCAAGTCAGAAGCTGGAGCCGGGAAGGGGACCCAGGCAGGCTGACTTGAGATGCAGGCAATGTCACTGCTACACCAAGAGCCTACTGTAGTCCACAGTGTTTTCTTCATCAACATTTCCCGTGAACTTTCTCAAGAACCCTCATATAGCATCGAAAAAAGCAGGGGAAAAAGCCCTGCCTCATAAAGTTCCTAATCTCATAGAATGTATTTCTAAGAAAATGGAATCCAAGAATGAGTTAATATAAATGTGTGGGTCATGAAGAGTGCGTTATTTATTTTAAAAAACCATTCAAGGTTAATTGCATTAATGTCTAAGTAGAAATCTTCTACTCTGAGTGGTTAAGGAAGACCTCTTTGAAGAGGTGGCATTTTGAAAAATGCCTGAATGAAGAGAGGGGAGGAATCACCAAAACCCTGTAGAAAATGGCATTCAAGAAAAAAAAAATAGCAAATACAAAGGCTGTGTATGGTAAATACTTGGTTTGTTTAAGAAACTGTAGATCAGAAAGAGCAAGAAAGAAGGGAGAAGAAGAAGTTGTAGATTGTCTGAAGTCAGATGAACTTCGCTCTTAAAGGCTGGTGTATGAACAGTGGATGTTATTATAAAGTAAAGGGAAACTACTAAAGAGATGTTTCTGTGCTTAGGCTCTAGGCATCTGAGATTCGGGTGACCAGTCTGGAGGCTGTTTCTAAATGTCAGTGAGTAGATGATGGAATGCACCAAGACAGTAGTATTGGGGAGTGAGCACTGGCAGGACATGATGGTACACTGGTGGTAAGATTCCAAGGGGACGCCCAAGGTGTTCACTCGAGAAATGGTGGCATGAATAGGCCTCTGCACTGAGATGTGGGGTGCTTGGGAGGGCTGGCTTTGTTGAGGCAAACCAAGTGTTCTCTTTTGGACATGAATTATCTGGTGATGAACTATCTGATTACATCCAATGGAAGTTTGAGTAAGCTATTGAATAAACACCTGTGGTGGTTGAGGGAGAGTCAGACCTGAAGTTATTAAGCAGGGAGTCATTAGCATGTCATTGTTTCTCTAAGGTCTACATAAGAGATGAGAAGGTGTCTAAGTGCTGAATCCTGGGTTACTATAATTTTTAGAGATTTGTAGTATAAAATGATTGTGGGAGGAAAAAAGAAATCAGACATGAGGAAAACTGAAGTACATAATATACTCAAGTCCAGGGAAGGAACTGTCTCAAATAAGAATGATGGATGGTGTTGAGCATAGTAGAGTGTGATGCTGTCTGACCTATACCTTTCACAGGAAAGTCCTGGCTGATTGTACAGTATACATGCAGAGATCATGCTCAGCTCTGGCCGTTGTAGTCATTTGGGGGCGTGAACCAGCAGATGGATGATCTCTCTTTCTCTCTGGCTCAACCTCTCTCTGTAACTCTGCCTTTCAAATAAATAAAATCTTTAAAAAAATTAAATTTAAAAAATTAAACAAGACTAGTGTCTGCAAATACTAGCTGATAGAATAAAAAAGGGAGAGAATGACCCAACATGGGAAGCGAGATACACAGCAGAGCCATAGAATGGCAGATGTCCTAAACAGCACTCTGGCCTCAGAATCAGCCCTTAAGGCATGTGGATCCAGCTGAAAAGCCCATGAGAGTATTTCAGGCATGGAAAGCCAAGACACTCTGGCAAAAAAACAAAAACAAAAACAAAAACAAAAACAAAAAACCAAAAAAACAAAAAAAACAAAAAAAACAACTAAATGAAAGATCTCTGTGAGTGAGATCCCAGTGGAAAGAACAGATCATCAAAGGAGGTACCATTCTCTGAAGGGAGGAGAGAACTTCCACTCTGACTATGACCTTGTCTAAATATGATCAGAGTCGGTGAACTCAAAAGGCTTCCATAGCCTTGGCAACTCATGACAAGAGCCTAGGGTGATTACTGACGCCATAAACAAGAGTGTCAATTTGTTAAGTCAACAACAGGAGTCACTGTGCACTTACTCCTCATGTAGGATCTCTGTCCTTAATGTGCTGTACATTGTGACTTAATGCTATAACTAGTACTCAAACAGTATTTTTCACTTTGTGTTTCTATGTGGGTGCAAACTGTTGAAATCTTTACTTAATATATGCTAAACTGATCTTCTGTAAAAAAAAAAAGAAGTTTTTTTATGGGAGGTAGGGAATGTATGAATGATTCTGAATAAGAAAATAACTTCTGAAGTTTTTAGTTTTGCTGGAATTCTTTCTTTGATGTACTTTCCGACCTTCTCTTATAGTACCAGTTGACTATGGGACTCACGTTTGTAGTTTGCCTTTGCTACCACTTTGGGCAGCATTCCCAGGCAGCCTCACCCTGGAAAGACCAGTTGTGGAAGAATCTTTCTTGTGGATTTGTGCAACATAAACTACTGAAGAAAAAACATGAATTTGTAGGGTTATGCCACCTAAGTGCAGAACAGAGAGGGGTGAAGTAAGGTATTGTCTGTGAATAGAGGGGAAAGAGATTTTCTTTCAATGATTTATATCAAGGATACTAGTAGTAATAAAATTAAACAAATAATGTTTGTTTTTAAATCCTTTTTGTTTTCAAGTTCATAGAAAGTAGGGTTCCAGATAGGAGCACAATGTTAACTTTGAATTTCAAGTGAACAATGAGGAATATATGAGTGTTGGTGCAATAATTTTTTCCTAAATCTCGTAATCCTAATAAAGGGTGAATTCTCATTGTAACTTTCCATCTCATCTAATGGAGAGATAATTCCTCAGAAAAATATTCCCTCCTCAAAAAGGGCTGTGTCAGCATGGGATGTAATGGGTTCCGTCTCTTAACAGTGACATCAAATGCACCACACACACCTCCGTTGGACAGAGATATAAACCACACTAAAAAATTTCTATTGAATATTTATGAAGTTTTTGCAAAGAACAGTTCTCTAGAGCTAAGCTTGTCATTTGTACCAAGCAGAAGACTCACTTTGTCCCCAGCACATTCTGACAGTGGTGAGCAGAATGGTGCACCTCCATGAAGAACAACCTGGTGATTGAATGGATAGACAGTGAACTTGGAGAGGGGGGATTGGGACATTCAAAAATATTATTTTTGGCTTCTTGTCAAGTGCTAGCTTTTTGTAATTTGTTATTTTAAATTAAAACTATGGCCAAGGGAAAAAAATTAGCTTTGACTTGGTAAGTTCATGGCCATAAATTCAGTTTGGCAGTCAATATTGATATATTTAGATTAGGATCAATGTCCAGATTTGAAAAACATTCAAATTGATTTCCACTCATTATTCAATTTTATCTTTGTTTTAGTCAATTTTGCATCATCCTGAAACAACTATTTAAGGAATGGGTGACTTACAGAGCAAAAAGTTGCATCCCAGTTATTTCCTAATGAGCAATTTCTACCATTTTCTTTCTTTATTCCCTAGAAGAGTTGGAATTATAGAAGAAATCTTTCTGCCTCCACATTATGAATAATCTATGACAAGAGGGAGTAGTGTCTGTTAAAATGTCTTGATAATGAATGGAGCAATCCTGAAGAGACATTGGAGTTTCTTCCCTCTTCTCAAGACAGCACGCTATATCCAGGCCAAATAATTGAAATACCGTGTCGGCACCATCTCTGATAAAATGGGATGTAAAGAGAATGTTTAATATTTGAGTTGTTCGCCTGAAGGTTCTTTGAGAAGCACAGCATCCTGGGAGTGTGCCAGTTGGAAGTGGCTTTCACTTCTTGCTGAGCAATGTCACAAAATTCTGCTGGGTTTGCTCTTTCGGATTCAAAGCATTTTAAATATGCCATTTGGGAATTGACTCCGTTTCACGAAGTGTGATAAGGGAACACGTCCTCAAGAGTATATGATACCCTTTCAACATTAGTGCCAAAAATTTCCATGATGAACCAAAAATGTTTCATGGAGTTAACTAAGCTGAGACCTGGCAGAAGGCCCAAGTACTGGGGGCACAGCTACTGAACGTATAGACCAGAGGTTGCCACTTGCTCCTATGTCTTGGTGTACTTACTAACGTAACATCCTCTCCTTTCATTTTAGGGAATCTACAAGTACAGCTTGTGGGAAGGATGTAACTGAATAGTGTCTTGCCAATAGTGGGGACTCCATAAATGGTGACAAGTGAATTAACTAGGAAATGCATCTTTCTGTCACTACTCCACCCACAACAAACACATGTGCATATGTGAGTGCATGAAGTTGTGTGTCTGTGCATGCGTTTTGTGAAAGCTATGTTCAGATTACTTTGCAGGATTCTAACAAGTGGTCAACACAGAAATCAAGAATCCAGGACATACATTTAGGGAAGCAAATGCCAAGAATTTGGAACACTTCTGAGTTAACGTGCACTTCAGAGTTCTCTTCCATCAGTGCTGGGGGAGTGGTAAGGCAGCTAAGTAAGCAAGCAGTCAGGAGCCAATGGATTTGGTTAAAGCTTTCTGGGGAGGTAAGGGAAGGGTAAGAACAGATGTGATTCGAGAACCAGAGAGCATCCATTGGTCATTTCTAGAAACATGTGCTCTAAGATTTTGCACAGGACAGACGAGGGCTCACACAGCTGTCTTGTGGAGGGCAAAGACAGAAAACGGAGTGGAGGTGACAGCTGTGTGACACATCAAGTCATGCCTGTCGCAAGGGATTTCCTAGTGAGCTGAGTCCTGAGAACTACGGTTTGTTGGGGTTTCTAAGTAAACTATTTTCAGAATCTGTATTAAAATTGTTAAAAGTGTTAAGAATGCTACCATGTCTGTTTCATATTCTGAGTTAGACAACACATTCTGCAAACTGTAGAGCTTTCTTAGAACTCTAAAAGCATTAGACAGCATTTCTGAAAGCAAACACACACAGACTTCGCAGAATACGTTTTAAGTTTCAACAAATAATACATTGATAGAATTTTAAAAGTTATATTTATTTTCAGTTTGAGGAAACAGCTTTATTTGATAACACTAAAATTTTAAGAAATAGTCTAAGAAACCCCAGCATTTAAATATAGATTATAAATACATACAGTAATAAATAAAAGGTTAAATGCATTTTAATTCAGCAGTGTAAAATACAGAATATTCCCATGCCATCTGGCATTTGATTGTGTTCTTGTATTTTGGTACTTTTGATAGAAATATGTGACCAACACTCCTATACCATTAAGCTTTTTATTGAAAAAAAATTATTGCATTGAACTACAGTCCAAGTAATTTATTGAATAACCTAAAAAAGCTGCTTTGCATATACAATAGTGCAATTTACTTAGCCACATAACAATTAAAAATGCTCTGTACAAAATGAAATTACTGATTTACTTATCATATGCTGGACTACCATCGCACTTAATTACAAATTAAATACTTCAAATGGAATCGAGTACGGTGGGGATTTGCTGTAAACAGCTACACGATTCATCCCATCAGCTATTTTATAATCTTGCACATATCAAAGGAACTGACAATTGATCCTGTTGGGGAAGAAATTTCTCCTTGAAGGTGCTTGTTTCAATAAGTGAATATGCTTTGAAAAATACCATTTTGAACAAAGATCAAGGTCTACAACTAGTGACTGTATTTATTAAGAACACAGATACAGCCACCCTCACCTGTGTACTCATACATATTGTAATTCTTCCAATGTTTCCTAAATTTTGTGTTTCTGAGGAGATATTCTTGCTCGTGTTATTTGAGAAAGGAGGGAGTGGGTTTGAGAAAGGAATAAAGAAAGCAGATTGGGAGAATTCCCTCCTCGGCAAAGCTGCCTTTGGCTTCCCTCTAAATGCTGGCTTCTTCTAAACCTAACCCACTCAGCCACCGCTTCCATGTTAACAGAGCTTAATCCTAGGAAATACAACAATCACCTTCAAATGCCTACCTGAACAGAGCAATGGATACTATTTTTGCTGGAATGAAGTGATAACCTTTGAAAATCCTCTAGACTCCGGTTGATGGGCAGGGAAACTTATATTTTAGCGGGGAACTCTCCTCTTAGAAGTGCTTGCAGCCTTGGATGCAAAGAAGAGTCATCCATTTTCCTGACTGCAGCACGGAAGTGGTCACCCACTTGCTTCTTCATCGCGTTTCTGTTCGCCAGCGAGAGCACGCTATTCGGGAGCTCATCTACCTTAAAGAATAAACACTAAACCTGCTCCTGAGCTCTGCTAGGCCAGAGATTAATGCTGCCCCATAGTCTGTTAGCTACACAGACCGACATGCACCACGTGGGTCTTCAAATTGTGTTTTTGGAAAACTGGACCTAACTTGCACGTATTTTTCTTCCGCGTGTCTACCCATCTTTCTGAAAACACAGGAAGCACATTTCAGGAAAGACGGGCAAAAGTGCTGATGATCAACAATGTCATTTCACTGAGAAGGGGACAGTGAACCGTGCACGCAGCCTGAGTCCGTCCGGACGTGTTCGTCACGTACAGCTTTCACACAGGGACACCAAGGGGCATCCTAATGGGTGAAGCATCTCCACATCTCCAGTTGTTGCCTCGAATGCTTGGAATGCATGTTTTGGGGTCAATGTGATGTTAATATAAAATTCAGAAAGTAAAAGCTGCACTGATGCCATCTTTGGGAGCTGGGTCTGGGTGAGAACATTATGCATGAAGGAAACAGATCCAGTGATACGCTCCTGAGTAACTGTATTGATTAATATTCCATTTATTGGAAAGTTTCATAGGATTAATTTCTTTTCATATGTTTCTATTTAGTGTTGAGAGATTCCATGAAGTCCTGGCAGAAACAGAAGAAGTCACTGTCAAATCTGCTTTCTGTAAGTGACACAGTTCAGGAGATTATTCTGTGAAATGTCTACCCAAGAAGGAAATCCTGGGAATTGGATTAAATAATTTCCAACATTTTAAAATATTTCTAAAGGTGGACTTAGAGATATCATTGAAATAGTTTTAAATACTCCAATTGTATTTTGTCTTGCTAAACTTGGCAGAGACTAACCAAGAAGATGAACTTCCCCATATTCTCGGTTCTCAATACCTGTATCCAGTGAAGTGCCTGAATAGTGGATTGGTTCGTAATTTCTGAGAAAGATATAGATTGGTAGGTATTTGTGTGGCATGCACATGTGTGTAAATGCTAAACCATCTTTCTTGCCATATTTTCAGTTTTCAATTAAGCATTGAGAGTTTGACAGATATAAAAACTTGCCTCCATGAACAATTCCAGAAATAGAACTACCTCATCAATATCAGGCAATAGAACATAACAGAAATTTAATATTCAAAATCAATTGTCAAATAACTATGAGAATGGACAGGAACAATGCTGAAATACAACTCATCACTGTGGCAATTTAAAAAATGCTCTTATTTTAGAATTCAATTTTTTTTTAATTTTTTGTTCATTTTTTCCAGAGTATGGTTATCTTAAGGTAAAATAAAAAAATAAAAATGCAGTTTTTGAGCATATGCTCATGATTTGGGGGAGGAGAGTTTTATAATCACATTTCTGTCATGTGATGACATGAAGCTTACAACTTCTCACCCTCGGGTGCAAGTCTTTCTTCATTTAAATAATGAAATCTGTTGTCAAATGGCTCAATATAGTGTATCAAGTGAGCAGTTTCTTCACTGTTAACATGAGATTGAGTCATCATTTCCTTGCCACCTACTGAGATCAATCTGTCCTTGTTAGTCAACACTAAGTGCCCAGGACAGGTTCCCTGATCTAATCTTCTGAGAGATTAAACTGTCACCAAGACAGTTGTAAAAGTTACGTAGGTGTGCTGTCTTTCTCAGAACAGGATTAGGAGTGTGTCCCCAGAATTACTCTAGTTCTGCTTTGTGAAAAGTTTGCAAACCACTCTCCATTTTTTTTTAAATCTGCAGGACCATTTGTCATCCCTTTTGATAATAAATAAGCCACTTAATTCCCTTTCTTTTGGATTCACCCAGAATTCACCAGTGGTTCTTTATGGTTACTTTTATAGAATTCCATGAAGTACAGTTTCTTGCTTTAGATGCTGTTACTATTCCCTTTAATAAGACAGACTTTGTCACTGCTGATCCCACACAGAACTCCCATACTACAAGTTCATGATGACACTTTGGAAATTATGGTTTTTATTTATGCTCAAATTTCAAATTTCTTCCTCTCCTTTCAACCCTGCTCCACCCTCCCCTCTCACTGTGTCCATCCTGCATCAGAGAGAACTTCGCCTACCCTTTAGCACATGTGAGCTAGTTGACCCTTCAGCTCGATCCTCTCATCAGGGATGCGAATGATCACACTGACCCCACGATGAGGATGAGGAGATGAGAATGGCCCTGTAAACACAGCCATGTCCACTGTCAGCTGAAGGCGAGGAGGTGCCCCTTCCTCAAGACCAGCAGCAGTGACTGAGCGCCTCTTTGTCCAGATGGATTCCTCTGTCTCAGGCGTACTGGGAGTGCGCTACTAGGCAAGTTCACCTTGTTTCCAGTTGAAGCACATGAGCTACCATGGGGTGGTGTTTGGCACAGGGGTGAAGCTGCCACTTGGGATTCCTGCATCCTGTGTGGGCAAGCGTCTGGCACTGCTTCAGATCCCAGCTTCCTGCTTGTGTGTAACCTGGGAGGCGGCAGGTGATGGGTCTAGCACTTGAGTCTTTGCCACCCACAAAGGAGACCCAGATTGAGTTCCAGGCTCTTGGATTTGGCTGTTGTAGGCATTTGGGGAGTCAATCAGTGGACCAAAGAGCTCTTTCTGTTGAAAGAAGAAGAGACAGAAGGGATGGTGGGAGGGAGGGAGGGAGGAAAGCAAGCAGGGAAGAAGGGTGGGGTTGGGGGGAGAAGGAAAGAAGGAGAGACAGGATGTAAAATAATAAATCTTCCTGGAGGACCATCATACAGACGTCAGAATGCAAATTCAATGGGCCAGAAAACATTCTCAATGAATTTTGAAATAATTTGCAAAAATCACATGAATGATGGCTTTATTCATCATTCATTGTATTTTAAAATATCACACTAGAATAAAACACACCAAATGCTTTAGGAGATTCTGGACATTTAAAAACATTGACATTTCCAAACCTTCACATCTATGATTATACATGTATTGGATGAACAGAGTAAAATTTCTGGGTAAAAAAAAATGTAAGATTATTAGTCCTCGTAATACCTGAAAGATCGACCAATATATTCAAAATGTTTTTTCTGCATATATTATTTTTGTGTTTTGCATTAACAAATACTAATGCTAGTTTGTACATGTTTTCTTATACAAAAATTAAACATTCTTAATTTTAGATGTTACTGATTCTTACAATTACAAAATTATCTGGGCATAGATTTGTGTCAAATGAAGTTCACCAATTTTTTTTTTACAGAATCTGTACAATCTGCTTAAAGACTGTTTCATTAGAGGATAATTTCAACCTGAATAATTGTTTTAAAGAACTGATTTATTTTTGCTGAGAAAATGAAATGCATATTCATTCACTAAACAAACACCTACAGCATAGTCTTATATTTCTTTTTATTTTTCTTTGTAATATTGCCGTTCTAAATGTTTTCTGTTACCACTGAATAATGTTGCACAAGAACTCATCCCAAACAAAATACTTTCCCTTGTGCTCTTCTACAAAATAATTTTATTTCTCCCTATATTTTTACAAGTTAAAAGAAATTCTTAAAATTATCTTATATTTCATTATTGGCAACTCAGTTCATATTTATATATTGGTCACATTTTGAATTGACACAGGTATCTTAATTCTCATAAAAATCAGATCACCTTAAATCTATCATTTTGTAGGTAGTGACAATTTGCTTCATTTATCCATCAGAGGGGCTTTCACACCTATTAGTTCAAATGTGCTGAAACATTTAAGGCCTCCTTCATGCCATTTAACTGTTGCATCTGACTGGAGCAGGAATGGTGGCAAAGTTCTTGACCTTGGAACATGGGCTGGATTACAGGATTCAAGTGGATAATAGACGTCGTGGCTGGGTTTAGGTGGGGGCCAAACAAGGTTGGGATGAATGCCGCCGGGGGCAGGGGCTGCAGTGTTATGTGAGATGGGTGGAAGGGAGCAGCCGTGACTAAATGTAGGGGATGACTGGCTATGAAAGCGGGGTGTGCAGGGATAATGGTGGGAGTGAGAGTTGAAAACGAAATAGGAGTGAAATGTGGCTGTGACAGAGGATGCAGGTGAGCGATAGGGAGGTGACTGTTGTGGGAACTTAGGGAGGCAGACACAGCGAAGTGCTGCAGGAACGTGTGGTGGATGGTGGTGATGGAGGCGTGCTGGTGAACTGGAACTGCTGGCACAGCTGAGGCCGGGGAGAAGGCAGTGGGCGCTGCGGCAGGCAGAACTCGAAGATGCTTTGACAAGAGCTGCTTCTGCATGTGCTGTTGGGCTTGCAGCTGGAGGAGCTTATATTTATCTATTTCTTCGGGAGAAAACGTTATGGGCTGTTGACTTAGAGGGGGGGAGAGAGATTTATGACACACTTCCAATCCATCTTCCACTTTGTCATGCTTCTGCATAGTTCTGTCATGGTAAGAGTTTATAGCCCCCTCTCCATGATGCATCTGCAGGCTTACGTCCTGTAAGTCGAGATTTATTTGGTCCTCTTTGGTCTCTGTTGCATCACCAACACCAGTATATCTATTGGTTGGACAAGCACCAGGGAAATCATTGGGCAGTGGGTCACAGCTTTGACTCAAAGGTTGGGCTTCACTAATTGAGGGTTTTGATTGGCCTTTCATTGCTGGGTTCTTTCTCCCATTTAGTGACTGAGACTCAGCTACTAAGTGAATTAGACCTTTAGAAAGATGGTCACAACCGTTATCTGCTAGAACAGTGACATTATTGGGCTGCAAACTTTTGATTTTGTCCTTTTCAGTAGTCCTTTGGACTGCACTGCCTTTATCATTTCTTCTTTTACTGTTGCATTGTGTTTTTTCTGACAAAGGCAATGCTGGTCTGGAACAGCCTGATGGTAGGAGTTGAATTGCACATGAGATTTGTGAATGAGCCTCTGATTCATTCATACAGCTGTTAGGAGAGACCTCCAAAGGAGCTGACTGCTCCCGACACTTCTTGGCTTGTATTCTCTCTAAGAGGCTCTTGGCTGTCAGGGGGGTCCTGTCTCCCTCTGTCATGTTTGGCTCCATAGTTTCTGAAGGGCCAATGGAATAGCTCCTTAGAAGGCAGTGGGCATTCCCAGAGTTACACTGCCTGGGCTTGACTTTTCCCAGATCACAACAGTGAGTGTTGGCCAAAGGCTCCCAAGTTCTGCTTCTATTTAAGCAGTGGATCTCCCCTCTTGAGTAAGAGCCCACTCTGCTCTGTTGAGGTCCCTGGCAGTTAGGTAGTTCTTCCCTGTCTGCAACACAGGAAACTTGTGAGCTCAAACCACAGTGGATGATCCTCGGGGATTTGGGCCCTGAAAACGGTGGCATTTTGCCAGTTCTATGTTTTTCTTTACAGTGACAACACCTGTGTTTTGCGTGCTTCTTCTTTTTAAACGATTCCCACAATTTGCAGCTTGCATCTCGCTTTGTTTCAGACTGGAGGCAGGCGCTCGTAGAGATCTCAGCAGACAAGCAACGGCCCTTGCGCTTTCTGTGTTTCCGTGTGTGTCTTTCACCTGATCTGTGGTTTCTTCTGCAAAAGCAGAGCAGGGTACCTCTGCCACCGCCGTGGGGCCCGTGACTTGCACAAGCACTTCTCACGTCGGACACACTGTCCGAGGATGCACCTGCAGGGCTAGCACACCCGCTCAGCGACGCCGTGGGGGAGCATCTCATGTAACTTTGGTTTCCACATCCAGAAGCACTGCTGTTCAGACTGAGGTGGCTGCTGTTCAGAGTCACACTGACGCCCTGCCCATGGTCACTGTGTCCCCCTGTAGTCAGAGGGCTTGAATTCCAGGTGAAAGGCTTTCTGTCCTCACACTCTGAATGAGAACTACAGGAAATCAGCTTATGCTTTTTTGTCCTGGAGATGTAGGGAGGAAAAGATAGGCTCTCATTTGCATCATTTAGAACAACCTTGCCCAGGCTCTGCCAAGGGGTCCTCGGAGGTTCCTGGACTTCATCGTCACTAGGATAGTTTCCTGTGCAGTCTCTCACAGACACATCAAGGGGAGTAGGCACTTCAGGATTTTTCAGTTCCACATTACCTGCACTAAAATGATGTTCACCTTCTCCGGACTCAGAATCATTGTAGCCCAAATTATATTCTTTCTGGAAATTTTCCCAGCCAGGATTTGCTATCATTATCTTTGGTTTCCGAGACTGATTATCTTCTTGGATCAATTTTTGTCGGTCTTTGATGAAACCTGAGACTTGGCGCTCTCCTTTAGTTTTCATTTCCAAGGCCTCCTTACCCACTTCTGCTGTGAAGTCCTCTGGATCACGATCATGGCCATCCTTTGTGTTCCGAGAATGCTTAAAATCAAAATATAAGGGGTTGCAGCCATAAGAAATACAGGGTTTTGTTTTTGTGAAGAACAGAAGTTCTGTAGGCCACTGGAGAGTGGTGTGGCCATCCTTGCTTTGTACATGGAGAAAAGGCAGTGGTTTGGATGTCACATCATGGGGGCATGCCTCCCGTTCAAGTTTTTGAACATTTTTACTAATTCTTTCTGTTTCCTCCAAAGATTTTTCTCTGTTCTCCATTCTGGATTTGGGATTGAAATGCTTGACACTCTTTCGGTCACTTGGCTCCAGCGATGAAAACTCATCCAAACAGTCAAATATCCTGGCATCAATGTGCCTATAAATGCTGGGTGGGCTGGAGGAAGCATCTGATGGGTGTGGAGGATCAGTGTGGTTTTCTGGAGTGTTCTTCCATGCATTGCTGGTTTCCTCTTCTCTGCTGGAAGGAGAACATTCTCCATCTGAAAGATGAATGTTAGATGTAGAGAATGGAGGGACAATGCCAGTGGAATCTTCCAGAGTCTTATCAATGGACTCACGTTTGTCCTGCAGAATTTTAGAGCTTCTAGAGAAGCTCCTTTCCAGATGGCCTGGTGAGATGTTTGTGATTTCTTCCTTTGAGAGCTGTGTTGTATCCTCATTTGCAAACCTGCAGCACTTGCATTTCTGTACAGTTTGCTTTGCTTTATAGATGGGTGGCTTGATACAATCCTGGGTTTCTTCTGTGTTCTCACTGAAAACTGATGCTGAAGATTCTAATTTTAGGTGCACTTTTTTAGAAAAGGAAAATGATACTCCTGTCCTGTGATTTGCGCTGCTGAGATCTGAAGGTGTCTGTGGCACCCGATTTCCAAACAGACATCGTCTGTCTGTCTGTAACTGGTGTCGGTTAGGCACGGTAGACCTCTGTTTGTCGGAAATGCTCCTGGGCACATTCTTTCCTTTAAGAAGGAGACTGCTCTTCACACAGGACACCTTCCTGCCATTCTTGACTGGGAAAATTCCTTGCTGGAGTTGCTTTTCTATGGCTACCCTGGGGGCTTTGTATGCTGGTCCACTTCCAGAAACACTGTAGATAAAATAAATATTAAAATGATTAATATTCTAGGTTTGGAATCATATTTATCTGCGAATGTTCCATAGTGTCCCTATGGAGAGTTATTCTATTCATGAACTACATCTTCTGTTGTAATCATTTGATCATGCTTTATACAACTCAATGTAATTTTCTTAACCATGGTGGTTGTCTCTAAAATGCAGTAAGTGTATATTATTTAATATTACCAACTAGCAATAGTAAGTGGGTATCTTCTGCCAGTTCTGCAGAAGAAGATAAAGTATTGTATTTACATCACAATATATGTCCTCAGGAGCTTATCAATTCTTTGAAATACAGACTTTATTTTATAAAGTGTTTCCTAATCAGTACTTTCACATGAAATAGAATTAAAATTCACTTCCAATATACAAAAATATTCCTGTAATTTGTTTCTATATATAAGTTCTAGCATTTTGTAATTTTGATTCCTCACTTTAAAAATTCCCTCATGTTCACTTCCTTATGAAATAGGAAGGTTAGTTCTTTTTGATTTGTTGCTTATTTGATTAATTATAATAAATTCATAACAAAAGGACACATTTGCAAGCCATGCCAATATTTTCAGGTTCTGAAATCTTACTTTGCTTTTTATTCCCCCAAACATTTTTCGACCATTTATGCATGTGTGTGTGTTATGTTTTAATGATTTTAAAAAGATCATTCTACTGAGCCTCATTAGCAATTGCACAGAAAACTGAAAACACCAATGCATATAAGAGATGTAATTCTTTAGATTGAAATTAGTTAATAATTTTCAGACAAATACATTTTAATCTTCCTATCCAGTTTACTACAAAACAAGGCATAACGAGGGGTGGAGCAATACAAATTATATCATCTGTTTGCTGTGAAATGCTTTCTTTTTCTTATTCCATATGCTTAGAGCTGATCATATGTTGTTTGAATATAAAACACTAAGGGAACTGATACAGCAGCCTAAACTCTAATGTGGAAGTCTTTCTGAGGGCTTGCCAGGTGTACCTTTCTATTGGCTTCAACTATGACTACTTGATCAATCAACACAGACCATCACATTCTTTTTATCCACCACCTTCTATGCATTTTGCTTCTTTGTCTTTGTATGTTAAGCATTTTTTATTGACATGTAGTGTGTAACCTGAACACCTTTATGGGCGACAGTACAATACATGAATCCACACATACAGAATAATAGGTTCAGCTTAGAAACAGCATCTCTGCTACCCTCTTCCTCCACGGTGGGGGCACACCAGCTCCTCTCTTCCAGTCCCTTATGTTGGAGATAATGCATTGCTGTGGAACACTAGAACCCAGTGCGATCACCTTTGTCTTCGTACCTTTTTAGCTAGCCTACCGTTCCCAGACTCCATTCATCACCATTCTAATTTTAGACTGACATTTTCTTTTCACTTCCCCGTGAGTGACAGAACATGTACTACATGAATTTTTATTTGGCAGAAATTTTTAATCAGCCTACTCTTATTTATTGTTGAACCTACTCATGCATTAGTGTGATTTTGCATTATTTTATGCATATGAAATTATTTATTATGCTATGCATAAATATATATGTATATCTATAGTCTTACTGGGACACAGATCATAGCTATAGCTACAGGTTGAATTTTTTCTGTTTTTAATAGTATTTCTTGAACACCTTTAGTTTAACTTTCTTCTGCATACATACACTTTCTTCTTTAATTATTGTTTAATTTCATTCTAGTTTCCTGTGTTGGAATTTACATGTTCAAATTATTGGCTCTCCAAAATATGCCTTTAGGTCTTAGTATTTATCTCAGTATTCTGCTGTCGTTAGTCTTTTACTCTAAGATATTTCTCCTGTACTAATTTAGATTTTACTGACCTCACTTTTTTGACAATATCTAATCTGTTCTTTTCTAGGCCCATATGATTTTAATTTAGAAATAATGTTGACCATGACTGAATTTTTAATGATATCAGATTATCTCCTTTTCATGAATTAATGGGTAGAGCTATAGAGTAGTAACATCCCCTTGAATCTTCTGGACAACTATCTTTAGAAATGTTCTAAGCCTGTGTTCTGTTCTCTACAGTAGCTGTTTCATGATGAAAAAGTTCCTCTCACTCAACATGTTAGACGGCCCTTACCAAATCAGCCCTTCCCGTTTCTGAGAGAGGAGATTTTCCCATCTTGAATCCGAGGATGGGAGGACCACTGTAAAGTGGTGTATGGGTTAGCGAATATTTCTTTACAGCTTAAAGACAAACAAGGAGCATAGAGGCGTGCGGCAGTGTTTACCACTGGCCTTTTAAAGAGTCTGCAGACTAGGGATGGAACAACGGGGTTCAGAAACAGCTGCAGCCCTGAATTTTGCCTCAGTGCCCAAGAGCCGCCTTCCACCTGTACAACCACTCTTTGGGTGAAGTAGAAGTTCAGTCTGGTGCTATCAGCACCTACACTTGGCAGAAAGTAGCGACAAGGTCTAGCATCCAGGTGTCACCCTACCCCCCTTCTTGATTCCACTGAGATGCAGATATGTCAGTATTTCTTATATTATCTTCTATTTTACACATACATGTTTCTTGCTATTTTTGCCTGTTACCCTGGTACTGTTTTGTGCATTTACTTGCTTTGATTTATGTTAGTCTAAATATCTTTTCAGTATTGCTGTTTTATCATTTATCTCTCTAATGGAAAAGCTTTTCCTTTTATATTCTTTGTAAATATTTTTAAACCTGTTTATCTCAGCTTTTTATGGTATTTTGCTGTTAGCTTCTAGTCTTTAATTCTTGCTCTTAGTTTATGATCTAATCTACATTTATGATTATGGATTTTTCAGGAGTTTTAACATTTTATTCTTGTGTTAATCTTTGATACTTTTTCTTCTGCTGTATACTTTTTTCTTATTGCTTTATGAGCTTTAATTTCCTTTATCTTAAATGTGATTTGGTAATATTACTTTGAAAGTCCTACATTTTCTGTATTTATGTTGTTTTAAATTCTGTTAGGTTTATACAAGTTTATGACCTAAAATTTTATTAAAGCTTATTTTTTTTCCAGTTTGCTTTCTACACGTGATAACATTATTACCAAAATCAAATCCATGGACATATCCATCACTGTACCTTTTGTTTTTGTAGGTTGTGGTGGTTAAGGACACTTAAGATACATTTTCTCAGCAGATTCCAAGGAAACAATAGAGTAGTATGAGCTGCAGTCAGTGTACCCTACCTTAGGTCCCTGAGAAGATACTCATCTTCTACCTGGAAGTCTGTATGCTTTGCCACCCTCTCCTCCAGCCTGTGGCAACCATCATTCTGCTTCTGCAAATCCTGAATTTTTTACACTTATCTCATTATTTCCTTTTTTAGATCTTCAGTTTCTTTTTGTATTTTTTACCTGTTTTTATTTTGAATGGCTTGTAAGAAAATGACTATAGAGTTAGCCTTTTGCTTCTTGTAACTGAATTGTCTGTTCCAGACTCCTCCTCAAATTTCTACTTGCAACAATGAAACAAATTCACAATTTAATTCTTTCCAAACAGGAAATGAGACCTAGCCCAGCAACATGGTTTCCTTCCATGGTGTCACTTTGTGATGTCTCAGCTTATCTAGTTGTCACCTAAGGAACTTCATAGTCTCATAAAGGATTCCCCATATCAAGATGAACTGAGTTAGGCAGACTGGAAGTTCACACACAGAAACTGCTCTTGCTGAGGGATCTGATTGGGTAAAAGTAACCCAAGAGATGGCCCAAGTTGACTGCCCTGTATAAGACTTATTACCAGTTAGTTTTCTGTCATCACTTTCCCATCAGTTTGATTCAAACATTCCTACCAGTAATAAATTCACCCCTTTTCTCTTTGGGGTCATAAAGGAATCTTGTTATCTGGATCATCTTACTCACAAGCCCTTTTTATGACGATAAAGGATGAAGAAAGGTTGTCCAGGGGTGCACTGCTAATGTTTTTTTTTTTTTTCGTTCATCAACCTAGCTGCCAAAATGAACACATTTCGTAATTATATTAGGTAGATTCCTTTAGGTCATGGAATATTTAAGCAGAGAGAAAGATTGGCTGGAGAGCACAGGATATTAGAAAAAAAAGTAAATCATTTTGCCAGTTCTGAATTCTGGGTTTAGAAAGAGGAGCACCTGTCCTTTTCATAACAATAAAGACACACTGCAAAACTAGACACTGCCTGCTCTGTACAAGACACCAGCCCAGATGTGGTTAGGTTTGTGTTGGCTTTGTAAACAAGGTTTCCACAGGGACACCTGGAACTTAATAGAGTGTGTCTTTTAATTTGGAGGACCCTTCATGGGTAGCTCTGGCAAACTTGAATTCCAATGCATCATCAAAATCATCATCACCACTCTCATCTCAGCTCCTCTGAGATAAAGTCATTCTTCCCAGAGGAAAATACAGAAAAGGTTAAGTAGAAATGAACATTCCTAGTAAGAAAACAACATTTATGTTGTTACACTTAGTCAGCTTTGCTGAGAAACGAGGGAAATCTGGCCTGGCCTTAAAAGACCTATCTTAAGATATCCTTGTATGGTGAAGATGGCTCTATTTTTTATGACCTGGCTTATGACATTTCATAATTAATCACTCCAGGATGGCTATCTTACCCACAGGACCCTAGGAATTTTTTTTTCCAAGTCCTCTTTGGACAACAACTGCCTAATACCTCATCCCTGGGCAGTTTTCTCTGTTGTGCTGCCAGGAAAGTGCTCAGTACAAACTGTGTGTCTTGCTTCTGTGATTGTTTTTATAGTAACCTCAGCTCCGGGCACATGTTGTACCTTTATTTTTCTTTGTACTAAACTTCTCATTTATTTTTAATATGATCTTTTTTAAAAAATTTATTTGACAGGCAGAGTTAGACAGTGAGAGAGACAAAGAGAAAGGTCTTCCTTCCGCTGGCTCACTCCCCAAATGGCCCCCACGGCCAGAGCTATGCCGATCCGAAGCCAGGAGCCAGGTGCTTCCTCCTGGTCTCCCACGCGGGTGCAGGGGCCCAAGCACTTGGGCCATCCTCCACTGCCCTCCCAGGCCACAGCAGAGAGCTGGACTGGAAGAGGAGCAACTGGGACTAGAGACCGGCTCCCATATGGGATGCCAGCACCGCAAGCGGAGGATTAACCAAGTGAGCCACAGCGCTAGCCCCTAATATGATCATCTTTACATATGGTCATAAGCCCATTAAATTTTTAATAGTTACAAATACATGAATATGCAAAATGTACATTAACTATTTTTACTTATAACAGATCTTAAAAAAGAAATACTTCCTTAAGATCACATTTGCAGTCTATTGTTTTGTGGCAATATATTTGAGTCACCCATTCCTGTTTATTGTGTATTATTTTCCATTTAAACAAGAGGGGTTTAAATTCTGGCACAGAGCTGTACATTTCACTATTTGCAAAGATGCTGCCAACTACATTAATTAGCTATGTTAGTGTCTTACATTATGATTCATAGGAATACAAATTGCAATCTGCAAATTTAATTGCACTCCAGGTAACAACTTTGAAACATTCAGTGGTTCTGAGCTTTTGTAAAACTGCTATTTTTCAGCTACAAGAATGTATTAATGTAATGCCTGTTATATTGTAATTATTTAAAAGGCACTGTGTGGTGAATCTCACCGTATTAATTGCATCTAGTTTGTCAGCCACACAATGAGAGTGTCATTTATTCTAGGTTCAGCTGTGTTCGGGAGAATGCAGATATTTATATCCCCCAAAAAGATGTCTTGTTTTTTTATAGTCTTTCTAATTATTATTACAAAACATAAAACAAATTACTGAAGAACTATATTGGTTCATTTAAATCAACTGGATAGAATAAATGCTAGTATATTAAAGTTGTTCTTGCATCATCTCATTAAGGAGTAAATTAAATTAACAATATTGAGAGAGAAATCAGATGCCTAACATAATGTGGTTATCACCTTAGAACTATTAGAAATATTTCCCCTCAGACATTTCTGTGGGTTCATTACAATTTTACATTGCTGCAGTGAACCGAATGGATTTACCATTGGGATTTCCCCGGGTTGAAGTGAGTTTGCCCCTGATAGCGCGAGTTCTTACCATTCTGACTGCTGCCGTAACTCAGCCAGCTGATGAAGCCGTTTCAGCGCCTTTTCCTGTTTCTTCTCATCTTTCCAGGACTTGGAAGCGACATTTCGAGCAAATTCCCGCTGTTTTAATTCTTTCAGTCTCTGTGAAGAAAGATGAAAAACATAAAGGGTACTATGAATCAGTAATACATTCTTTTCCATCCACAAGGCTCCTTATTAAACTTTGTCCCACGTGCAGAGGCGACTGAGGACAGAAGAGTGAAGGCATCTGCTCCATCGATGCTAGCCTCTGCTTGATGATAAACTTAGTAGCTAAATGTTGGTGTTAACTGAGTCATTTTTCTTTTTTTTAAAGATTTATTTATTTATTTATTTGAAAGTCAGAGTTACACAGAGAGAGAAGGAGAGGCAGAGAGAGAGAGAGGTCTTCCATCTGAGGGTTCACTCCCCAGTTGGCTGCAACGGCCGGAGCTGCGCCAATCCAAAGCCAGGAGCCAGGAGCCAAGAGCTTCTTCTGGGTCTCCCACATGGCTGCAGGGGCCCAAGGACGTGAGCCATCTTCTACGGCTTTCCCAGGCCATAGCAGAGAGCTGGATCGGAAGTGAAGCAGCCGGGACATGAACCAGCGCCCATTTGGGGTGCTGGCGGTTCAGGCCAGGATGTTAACCCGCTGTGCCACAGCGCTGGCCCCAACTGGATTATTTTTCAAAGCATGTCAGGGTCTCTGCCAGGCTGGAGCCCAGTCCTCACTGGGATCGTCCCGCCAGACAACCGCAGTCAGCCATATGCCCGTGACAACACAGATGGGAGAAATGGGCAACATATGGATGGGAGGGAGGGCAGAGGAGGCGATGGGCTGCAGGTGCCCAGCTCTCCCCTGTAAAGCTGCTGCTGTTGCACACACTCTGTGGAATCAGCTTCTTTCCTTTAGTTATTTCTGATACTGCGAAAGATTTGTTTAAACTCCAAATGTGATTCGTAATTCATCTGTTGAGTGAAGGCATTTATCAAATGGAGATTTATATATTGTATCGAGGCAGAAAATGTGTATCAGGGATTTAAACTCAGTGTAGATTTGGTCTTGCTTGATTTCAATTAACCTACCATTTCTTTTAATTAATCTTTTCTCTAAAACAATTGACTTACAATGCAAATTGGATGCTGCTCATTACCTGTTCAGATTTCTACTTTAGAATTTGCTAGTAAGCACGTCTAATGATATTGAACAATTTGAGAAACAGTCACACTCAGATGAGCATCTTGACGTTGGGGGCTTAAACCTGAGTTGGGAGACTATTTGAAGATTGGCCTCTCTTGCCACAAAGGAAATGCTTTTAAAAGTCTACACTATGCATGAGTTTAATTTTTTCCATTTCCCAAATGAAGTATAAAGGTATGGAAAAAGCTGTACATCAATAACACTGTAGCACACTACTTCCCACCCAGAAAGCAGGGCCAAAACCTTTAATGATCATGACCTTCATCCTTACAAGAGAAAATGTTCCTGGGAGATGGTGGCCTGGTAACAGCATCTTGGCTATGTCTGCAGGAACTGGCCGACCAGCCTTTCACAGAGAGAATATCCTGTATGCAAAGAACAGGAGGGTCTCAGTAGAAATGGCCACAGGGAGAACAGTGGAGATAACCTGAACTGAAATTTTGCAGATACTTCTGATTTCTCTAAAGAAGTAAAATTACGCCCCATACATCACCATTAAAAAGGAGGATCAATAGTTCTCTGCAGTTGGTAAACGCCAGAGGGGCTGAGCACTGCAGCATAGACAGCCTGGATCACAATACAGCAAGAGAGGCTTAGAAATCCTTGTGCTAACTTCCCCTGTACTCCCTCTTCCTCAGACCCCTCGTGCTTTGTAGCTCTTAGAGTGAAAGCTTGTTTTAGGAGCAAAGACCTGTTGGAAACTATTCTACATGATTTAAGAGCACCCATAAATGGCGATCCACCATGTCAAGGACAGAAGATGACTACTGTAGGATAGAGGAAGTTTTTTTTTTTTTTTTTCAGTTACTACTGAACTTAAAATACTTGATACTACATTTTTTTTTCAAAGTGTAAAATACTGTTTGAGTACTAGTTATAGCATTATTTCACATTGGACAACACACTAAGGACAGATCCCACATGAGAAGTAAGTACACAGTGACGCCTGTTGTTGACTTAACAATTTGACACTCTTGTTTATGGCGTCAGTAATCACCCTAGGCTCTAGTCATGAGTTGCCAAGGCTATGGAAGCCTTTTGAGTTCACCGACTTCATTCTAATTCAGACAGGGTCATAGTCAAAGTGGAAGTTCTCTCCTCCCTTCAGAGAAAGGTACCTCCTTCTTTGATGGCCCCGTTCTTTCCACTGGGATCTCACTCGCAGAGATCTTTCATTTAGGTCTTCTTCTTTTTTTCTTTCTTTCTTTCTTTCTTTTTTTTTTTTTTTTTGCCAGAGTGACTTGACTTTCCATGTCTAAAATACTCTCATGGGCTCTTCAGCCAGATCCGAATGCCTTAAGGGCTGATTCTGAGGCCAGAGTGCTGTTTAAGACATCTGCCCTTCTGAGTCTGCTGTGTATCCTGCTTCCCATGTTGGATCGTTCTCTCCTTTTTAATTCTATCAGTTAGTATTAGCAGACACTAGTCTTGTTTGTGTGATCCCTTTGACTCTTAGACCTATCAGTGTGATCAATTGTGAACTGAAATGGATCACTTGGACTAGTGAGATGGCATTGGTACATGCCACCTTGATGGGATTGTATTGGAATCCCCTGGCATGTTTCTACCTCCACCATTTGGGGCATTGATTGAGCATGTTCCAAATTGTACATCTCCTCCCTCTCTTATTCCCACTCTTATATTTAACAGGGATCACTTTTTAGTTAAATTTAAACACCTAAGAATAATTGTGTGTTAATTACAGAGTTCAACCAATAGTACTAGAACAAAAAAAAAATACTAAAAGGGATAAAGTATTAAATGGTACATCAACAGTCAGGACAAGGGCTGATCAAGTCATTGTTTCTCATAGTGTCCATTTCACTTCAACAGGTTTCCCCTTTGGTGCTCAGTTAGTTATCGCCGATCAGGGAGAACATATGATATTTGTCTCTTTGGGACTGGCTTAATTCACTCAGCATAATGTTATCCAGATTCCTCCATTTTGTTGCGAATGACCGGATTTCATTGTTATATATTGATACTACATTTAATATTTGGTGTTGATAGGCGCATGAAACATGTGCAATCTGGGGGAGAAATGGATTCATTTACTCACAATAATTGATGCTTGATTTGTCATTACTGGAAGCTTGTTTGAAACTTCTACTTCTGAGTTACAAAAGTTATTGTGATTTCTGTTTCTGTTAACTTATCATGTACTGCTAATTCCTAAAATATGAATCTTTACTAAGCATAAGATACAATGATACACAAGACAATTATTTTCCCCTCAAGGGAGACAGACATGTAACTTTACACTCTTAGAAGATGATGTTGGCCAGCGCCACGGCTCAATAGGCTAATCGTCCACCTGCGGCGCTGGCACCTCAGGTTCTAGTCCCAGTCGGGGCACCGGATTCTGTGCTGGTTGCTCCTCTTCCAATCCAGCTCTCTGCTGTAGCCTGGGAGTGCAGTGGAGGATGGCCTAAGTTCTTGGCTCCTGCACCCACATGGGAGACCAGGAAGAAGCACCTGGCTCCTGGCTCTGGATCAGCTCAGTGCACCAGCCACAGCAGCCATTGGGGGAGGGGGTGAACCAATGGAAAAAGGAAGACCTTTCTCTCTGTCTCTCTCTCTCTCACTGTCCACTCTGCCTGTCAAAATAAATAAATAAATAAAAGAAGAAGATGACGTCAAGTTTCTATTTTTTTTTTACTTGACAGGTAGAGTTACAGACAGTGAGAGAGACAGAGAGAAAGGTCTTCCATCCATTGGTTCCCTCCCCAAATGGCCACTACGGCTGGTACTGCGCCGATCCGAAGCAAGGAGCCAGGTGCTTCTTCCTGGTCTCCCATGCGGGTGCAGGAGCCCAAGCACTTGGGCCATCCTTCACTGCCCACCCGGGCCACAGCGGAAAGCTGGACTGGAAGAGGAGCAGCTGAGACTAGAACTGGCACCCATATGGGATGCTGGCGCTGCAGGGAGAGGATTAGCCAAGTGAGCCACAGCACCAGCCCCTGCTGCCAAGTTTCTTAACAAGGGTATACATAACCTGCTTTGGAAGCATCCAGGAATAGTTACCAAGTGTTGTATGGAGGGAGTCAGCAAAGTTAACATGTTTTTAAGAAATACAGAAAACTTGGAGACTTACTTAAAGGCACTTAGCTATAGATTTAGCTTAGCCAATACAGAGTACTCAAGTTTGCATAAATAAAGGCACCAAGACATCTACCGCACAAGTTTTTGTGTACAATAAATGTATGCATGCATGGAAACTAATTCAGGCCAAGGAAACAATCAAATGAAATAATTAAAAGAAACAATACCTAGAAATCATACTCAAATCGCCTGTTTTCAGCCACAAGATGAGAAAAACTCACAGGACACTGAATAGAGAATTCAGCAAAGTCTTTCTGCAGTAGAGAATAATTAAGCATATTATTGAACACCCCTTTGGACTTGCCTCATGAGTCTTAAGAGCAAAAATTCAAAAGTAAGGAGCTGGCACTGTAGCACAGTGGGTTAACGCCCTGGCCTGAAGTGCCAGCATCCTATATGGGCGCCGGTTCTAGTCCCGGCTGCTCCTCTTCCGATCCAGCTCTCTGCTATGGCCTGGGAAAGCAGTAGAAGATGGCCCAAGTCCTTGGGCACCTGCACCCACATGGAAGACCTGGAAGAAACTGGATCTTGGCTTCGGATCAGTGCAGCTCCAGCAGTTGCGGCCATCTGGGGAGTGAACCAGCAGATGGAGGACCTTTCTCTCTCTCTCTCTCTCTCTCTCTCTCTCTCTGCCTCTCCTCTCTCTGTGTAACTCTGACTTTCAAATAAATAAATAAATAAATAAATCTTTAAAAAAAAACTCAAAAGTATAAAACTGGTCCCTGTAACATGAGCTGAACCACAAAGCCAAGCTCTAGGGTACCACTGTTGGAATGTAAATTAGTAAGCCGTGATAAAAAAATAGCCTAGATATGCCTTAAAAAACTACAAACAAAACTTCCACATGATCCAGCAATCCCACATAGTGTATATTTCCAAAAGAAATGGAGTAATTATATTCAAAAGATATCTGTTCCACCATGTCCAGTGCAGCACTCTTCACAATAAAGGAGACAAGGATTCAATGTGTCTATCATGAGATGAACAGATAAGAAAATGCAATATTTATGCACAATGGATTCTTAGCCATAAAAAAATGAAGCCCTATCATTTGTAACAAAATGGATGACACTGGAAGACTCCATGTTAAATGACATAAGCCAAGATTAGAAGGACAAATACTGCATGTTCTCCCTCATGTGAAAGCTGAAAAACAGGGGCCGGTGCTGTGGCTCACTTGAGTAATCCTCCACCTGCGGTGCCAGCATCCCATATGGGCGCCAGTTCTAGTCCCGGTTGCTCCTCTTCCAGTCCAGCTCTCTGCTGTGGCCCGGGAGGGCAATGGAGGATGGCCCAAGTCCTTGGGCCCCTGCACCTGCATGGGAGACCAGGAGGAAGCACCTGGCTCCTGGCTTCAGATCAGTGCAGCTCCGCCCATGGCGGCCATTTGGGGAGTGAACCAATGGAAGGAAGACCTTTCTCTCTGTTTCTCTCTCTCTCACTGTCTATAACTCTACCTGTCAAATAATAAAAAAAAAAGAAAGCTAAAAAACCAAAAAACCTCAGTATGAACACAGTATGTTGACTCCTATAGGCTGGGGGAAAGTTTAGATAACGGTGCCATATCTTGAAGGAATAAGTTCCTGGCATTACACAGCATAGTTGGATCACTACAGTTCACAATAGTGTATTGGGTATTTTAGAAGCAAGGGGAACAAGGGAGCTCCAGGGTTCCAATGATAAAGTAGTATCAGGGAACTGGGAATAGTGGGTACCCTGATTTGATCAGTGCACATCGTATACATGTTCTGAAATGCACTGTGGTCCTTATTTATGTGCCTCTATTGATAATCACTTTTACAACTCATTAAAAATATGAAGAAATGGCTATAAAGTAGGAATATATATGTATGTATTATTTAAATGTGTTTAGACTAAGCAAAATATTAACTATGAACTACAATTTTGAAGTTTAGAAACTTTTTACATCTATTAAAGAGGATCCTATCATTCTTTTGTCTTTGTTTATACAGTAAATAACCTCTATTGATTTTATGAAAAAACTTTGTGCTCATGGGAAAAATGCTGCTTTATGATTATATGTTGTCATTTCCAATTTGATGGATTTGACTTCCTTTTTAAAATGCAATTTGTATCTCTGCTCATGAGTGACATTGGTCTTACTACTTTTTCATGAAGTTCTCATTTCACTCCAGCCCCGTTTTATCTAGTCTGGGATACTGTAACAGAATGCTATCAACGGGATGGCTTAACCAACAAATATTCATTTTATTTCTATATTTCTACAGCTTTGGAAGTCCAAGATGAAGATGTGTGCAGACTCTGTGTCTGGAGAGGGAACTGTTCCCAGTTTGCAGATGGCCACTTTCTAGTAGAGCACACAGAATAAGGAAGCTTTATTGTCTGTTCTTATCAGGGCACTGACCACAGTCAAGAGGGCTCCGTCTTCATGGACCTGCTGATCCTGCCACCCTACTGGAACTGTGGATTTCAGGTTTACATAGACATTTGATCCATAACAATTTTTTTTTTTTGACAGGCAGAGTGGACAGTGAGAGAGAGAGAGACAGAGAGAAAGGTCTTCCTTTTGCCGTTGGTTCACCCTCCAATGGCCGCCACGGCCGTCACGCTGTGGCTGGCGCACCGCGCTGTTGATCCATAACAAGTATCATGGTATTAATGACCTCCTGAAAAGGAGTTGGCAAATGTTTTGTACTTTATTTTCTAAAATGCTGCATATAAAATTGATATATTTTCTTAAATACTAGATAGAACTGTCTTTGAAGTTGTGTTATGCTTGAGATTATTTTATTGTTTTAGAACATGTTAAATTACTAATTTAGCTTACAAGATGAATATAAGACAAAGTAGATTTTTTTTATTCTTTTGGGGTCAGTTTTGGTAACTGTATTCCTTCAAGGGTTTATTTTTTTTTCATGTCATCTAAATTGTTCATCTCATCTACATTGTCAGACATAGTAACATAACATTGTTTCAAATATTCCCTTTTTTATGTTTATAAGATTTTTGGGTGATATCCCTTTCATTCAAATCTGATACTCATAAATTGTGTATTCTCTATTTTTCAGTCTTCCTAGTGGTTATTAATTTTAAAAACAGGAATATTTAGTACTATACTTTATAGGGCTAACAGAATAGTAAGTAAGCTTACAACAGCATCACCACAAACTTGTGTGAGTAATGCATTGTGCTATGATGTCATGACAGTTACGAGGTCACGAAACAACAAGAATTTTGTTTTCACCTCAGAATAACCTTAGGGGACCACTCATGTGTGGTCTGTCAGTTACCAAATGTCATTTATCAGTACATGCCTGACTGACTCTATAGATATCGATATCAGTATACATATAGATATAGATTTAGAGATATATTTAGGCAACTGTGATAACACAAGGTACAAGAGCTGGCGCTGTTGTCTAGTAGACTAAGCCTCTGCCTGCAGCGCTGGCATCCCATATGGGCATCGGTTTGTGTCCCAGGTGCTGCTCTTCAGATCCAGCCCTCTGCTAAGGCCTGGGAAAGTAGTGGAAGATGGCCCAAGTGCTTGTGCCCCTGCACCTGCATGGGAGACCTGGAAGAAACTCCTGGCTTCAGATTGGCGCAGCTCTCGCAGTTGCGACCATTTAGGGAGTGAACTAGCGAATGGAAGACCTTTCTCTTCTGTCTCCCCCCGCCCCCCAATGGCTCTATGTCTGAAATAAAGTAAAAAGAAAAGAACACAAGCTAGAAGTTGAATGGATTTTAAGCTGGAATATTTTGAAACCTCTGTATATAGTGAGATAAAATCTTAAAAGTCTTGAGGGATTAACCCACATCCTCTCTCTTGCATCAAGTCAGTCTGTTAGACTATAGAGCCTGCTTTGTAGTTACAAGGGAAATCATATGTTACCATACATACTTATTCTTATTAGTTATATAAAAATCTCACAAATTTGATCAAAGCTGAAATCTCAGATTGTTTATCTTTGGATATATTATGGTAAAGGAATGCTTGCACAGTGGCCCACAGAATTTATAGGTTGCCATTTCCAATTCAGGGTCTGTTGACACTGTGTATTAAGTATTAGTATGATGAGACTCAGAGATGGTGGTAAATTTAGGGAAATTGAGAAGAAGAGTGACTCTATTAAAGTTCTATAAAAGTTGAAATATATTCCCTTATAACGTTAGGAAGAACATATTTCTAACCATATATTATTTTTACTAGCCCCTTCTCCACAACCACCTTTGAGACCCAGAATATGGATCTCTCAGTAGCATGGAGACCAACAGAAATCAATGTGATAGCAAATACTTAGTTTTTATTTTGAAAGAATCTAATATTTTTGGTGATATACACAGAGACATAGTTGAACAGAACTGTTTACTTTTTGTTTCTAAATAATTTCTAAGGTGGAGAAGAGACGTAATTCAGTGTATCCTCACTAGAATTTGTGTTTGCCTAAGACAAAACAGCTTTCTTTGCAGAGTGCATATTTTCACCACGGAAGTACAGATTTTGGTTAATTTCCCGATGGATACAGCACTGCTACTGCATGACCATTTAGGAAGTCTTTTGGGCTTAGATGCCTTGACACAGGGACACGGCTCTCTGGGTAGCTGCTGCTGTTGTAGTTAGTCATGTCTCCAATCTCACTTCTTGTTTAGCAGTGACTCATTTAATAGTACGTTAAGAATGATTGCACTACCAGTATGCCCAAAAATTCCACTAAAGCCGACTTTACTGGGTAACATTAAAGTCAAAACCAATGTTTGTGATATAAAATCATCATATAGTATGATAAACACAAAGCTAAGAGAATGCTAGATTTTCTCTCTCTAAAATATATTTATTATCACTTATATAAAAGGCAGAGAAACCAAGCGATATCTTCCATCCTCTGGATTACTGTCCCAATGACTGCAACCGTTAGAACTAGGTCATGGCAAAGCTTGGAACTGAGAACTTGTAGGTTTCCCATGTGGGTGGCAGAGAGCCAACAACTTAAGTCATCACTTGCTGTTTCCTGTTAGCAGGAAGCAGAAGCAGAGCCAGGATTTGAACCTAGGTACTCCAATATGAATCATTGTGCTAAATGCCTGCCTCTTATTTGTGTCTATATCTTGAAAAGAAAAATCTCATAATCTTCGGAACTTCAGATGTCTAAACTAGCATACTGTTCATAACCCAATGCATAAGTATAATTTATAGATGACAATTAATTAGTTGGTTTAAAAATGCTAGCACAGTAATAACTTACTCATCAGTAGCTCAGGAAGAACAATAAGAACAAGTAAGAGCTTGATATTTCTGAGAGGAGACTGAGGAAGGCAGGGTAGCTTCTTGTTCCTTTCACTCACTAGTTGTGAGACTCTGCTACCTTATAAAAGTAACTCAATAATCCCTAAATTTAGTTTGTATATTTGTAAACTTGTCAACTTCTGCATCTATGTTGTAGATTTCATAGTATTATTTGTATTGGGTATGATAAATAATTTAGCAAAGCACCTGCTAGATAGCAAATGTCCAGCAACTCAATTGTAGGAACTTTACCATGTAAGGACTGGTTAGATACTGTGGAACTCTGGGAAGCAGGATGAGTAGGGGGCAGCTGAGTCATTCCCACGAGGTTCCAGGAAGAGGTGTTGATTAATCATCTCCTGAAAGCAGATTGTTTGGGTGGTTTTAATTTAGAGAGCTTTACAAGACAGGTAAGTGCAGATTTTTTCAGAGGAGAAGATAGAAAAAGGAAGCAGGCTACGTATTTCTTCATTTGCCTTCTTTTGAATTTGAGCCTAAGAATTTAAGACAAGTAAGAATAATTTTACATAAAATTGACAATAGGAAACCTTAAATTTATATTTTTAATCAAAACATATATCTTTTCTGACAATCCAAAATTATATGTCAGTACCAAATATAATTATAAGAATTAAAGCATAATTTGGTATTAAGATTTTCTTAGATAAATTCTCTTTTAATTTTGACACTGAGTTTTAACACTACTCAAAATGGATTTTTTTCAAGCATGAAAATATAACCTTTATTTCTTAGGCTTAACAAAATGTACAGTTGGAGATCTCTCACCAAAGGGAAATCAGTGGGATATATTATGTATTAAACATTCCACAAGCTTATATATTTGAGAGTGATTAAGATCAGTTTTGGCATAAAGCATAATTTAGCATGAAGGACTGTGTTCTAGTTCTAGGATTGCTTTCTTAAACATTTCATGGAAAATGAAATTAAAAGATAAGTTTAGGGGCCAGCAATGTGGTATAGCAGGTAGAGGAGCAGCCAACTGCGACATCAGCATCCCCTATGGAGGTCATTTCTCATCCTGGCTGCTCCACTTCTGATCCAGCTCCCTGCTAATGGCCCGGGAAAGGCAGTGGAAGATGGCCCAAGTGTGTGTGCCCCTGCCCCTCCTGGGGGAGACCCAGATGAAGCTCCTGATTCCTGGCTTCAAACTGGCTACTGCAGCCATCTGGAGAGTGAACCAGTAGGTTGAAGATATCTCTCTTATCTCTTCACAACTTTCAAATAAATATTTTTAAGAAAAGTTTATTTTGGTGCAAAAAAATTTTGAAACCTATATATGTTTTTTCATAGTAGGCATTTTTTCCATGAACTTTTTGAAATTTGCACCAAAATAAACTGATCTTCTAATTCCACTTTCCATGGATTTCTTTAAGCATCCTTGTAAGACCTCTGAATTCCAAAAAAGAAATTTAAAAAGCAACCAGCAGAGCAGCCTAATACAAACCTTCCAATTAACAGATTTTCTTATTAACTGTATGACCAGATCTTACGAAAGTTGGACAGTTCCGAATTTAATCAGGAACATGGATGAAGGATTGACTAGTATTACTTTCACAGAAGTATACAAGTGTGAAGTGGAAGGCTTGTCTAGTTCATGTTCTTGTATTAAAATAGAGATAGCAAAGCAGATATCTTCATATTTCTGGAGAATGCAGAGTTGGCATAGTCTTTGCCCAGATCAAAAGCAATGCCATAAAAGGCTGATGCTGAGGTCTGGTTCACTATATTCTCAGCTTTCACAAAGCATTTGATTCCTCTCAGTTGCAAGTGACATAAGGCTTCTAATAGCATACTCACTAAAATACGTTTATGAAATATCTGCAATTTAATTTTCTTCTTGACTTCATTTTAAAAGCACATGCTAAGCAAGCTTTATTTCCCTACCTGCTAGCAAGAATGCTTGGCACATGCATTGCAAGTGGAATTCAGCTGTGAATAAATAAATGAAGAAGCAAATTGATCAGGTCAGTAAGTCGATGTGTGTTTGGAATAGCAATACTGCCTCTATCATTGCTTACCAATCCAGACCTGCACATGAACGCCCGCCCACCCCAGAAACCACCCTTGTTCAGCTTCACTGGAGCACAGTGCACGTGGGAAGTGCATGTAGTCAAGCGTATCCACTGCTCCCCTCTCTCATAGAATAACTCTTTCCATCGCTGCACTTCTCATCCACAGATCCTGGCCTGCTTACAGGCATTGATGTTTTTCTTTACTCCAGAGGAAACTCCACAGCAAAAGGTCAAAATTATTAACCTCATTTTGGAGACGAAGAAACACACATACAGAAGGTTAAATGACTTGATCCACAACCAAACAAAAGACTCCCTTCATGCCAAAAAAAAAAAAAAAAAAACAAACAAAAAAAAAAAACTATCTGTGAATTGAGACTTGAAAACAGAATGTCTAATCTTCCTAATAAGGAAAAATCAGAAGTCTATGCAGAATCCCATTGATAATACTTTAAATTTTGTGAAATGAACGTTTACCATGTTCTGAAATATTGCTCTAAGTTTGGAAATGTGCCCTTCAAAATGATTTGGAAGACATTTATAGCTCATTAATAACAACGTAAATTAGGACAGGCTGTAATTTGAACAAAAGTACCATTAAGAAACATAAAAGAAATGATATTGGAAAATACTCATTATTTCTCAGAAGAATTCTCTACATTGAAATGAGACTTTATGTAAAATATTATATTGCAAGCAAAGCATAATCTGGTAGCCATACAAACAGATGGTAAAATAAACTAAAATATCTTGAGGTCTCCCATGTCAAAAACTACACTTTGGGGTACTAACAGGGGTGAGTCCCCTGCCTTTCCTGGTAGAACACAACTTGAGCAAATTCCCTCTGAAGTGACTGCTCCCAGGACCAGCAGGCGACAAGCAAGCTCAGAGAGGGAGAGAAGTAACAACTCTGGGGCTGCACACTCTGCCGCAGTCCTCCTGCTTAGATGTGTGATGTTGAAAGCATTACAAGGGGGCCCAGAGTATGATTTTCTAGACTCTAAATTTTTAAGATTTTGTTTATTTGAGAGGTAGAGTTACAGACAGAGAGAGGGAGAGATGGAGAGAAGGGTCTTCCATCTGCTGGTTCACTTCCCAGATGAATGCAATGGATGGAGTGGGGCTGATCTGGAGCCAGGAGCTTATTCCAGGTCTTCCACAGTGGTGGAGGAGCCCAAACACTTGGGCCATCTTCCACTGCTTTCCCAGACCATAGCAGAGAGCTTAACTGAAAAAGGAGCAACCGGGACTCGAACCAGTGCCCATGTAGGATCCTGGCGCTGCAGGCAGAGGCTTAGCCTACTGCACTGCAGCACCAGTCCTTGGACCCTAAATTTAATTGCTAATGGTCAGCCAGCTGGGCTTGGACAAGCCAGGACCATGAAATTACATGAATAGAGGATATAACTAATAACTCCATCAACACCAGTTACCTTGGCAATGAGTAAAACAGCAGGTGTTTCTGAAATGAACAAATACAGTAATGAAAGCTTATGTCTTGAGTAAACGTTTGATCAGACTAACAGTAATAAGACCTTAGGAAAAAGTAATTTGGCATTTCATCACAATTTAGACCACAGAGAACAAGTGCTATGTGGAAAACAAAGAAAGCTTATAGACCATAAAAATCCAGACCTTTCCTCAAGCAACAGGGTTTAAAATTCAAATTACATTGAAAAATTAAAAAAAAAGATTTTCACCATTAACGTTATACATTCTTATGGTCTAGTATCAGAAACTAATCATTTTAAAACAACATAACTCAGGTCATTTTTTTCATTTCTCTGACCTTTAAAAACACTTCTAGATCAGATCACATGCATACAGGGCAGTATTGAGTTAAAAAACAGCACATGAATGACAGACATTTGGAGATTTGATGATTTACAGCCCTTGTCTATACTCCTGAGGACTTCCTACTTACTACTTGTTGTCTTCTTTATTTAGTGGAGGATTAACCCTGTGATTATGAAGTTGAAAGTATGTCATCGAAAACATAAAAGTGTGAAAGGAAGGAGGGAGGAGGTTAGAGAGGAAGGGAAGTATTGTTGTTAAAACTGTGTATGTGAAATACATGAAATCCATTTTCTTTCTATAAATAAAATTTAAAAAGTTTCAAACAGCTTCCAAAACTCATTGTGCAGAGGTCAGAGAATTGTGCAGGCTTTTTTTTGGAGGGAGTGAGGCCCATTTCTATCTCTAGTCCAACATGGTGAAGGAATCAGCTGGTTATTTACTTTTAACCATCAGGATAATGAATCACCTTCTTTGTAGAGAAGTTCTAGGCAAGAAGCATTTTGCACTTGGCCCCAAGAGTTTTTAAAGAAAATCTTAAGAGACTCCTCTGGCTCGCCGAGTCCTCCCAGGAGGTTGTGCAGTTCCTGCAGGAGGCCATCTTGATCTTGCAGGCTATTATCTACTCCCACACACGGCTTTCCAGGTGCGCCGCTGCTTCCTGATCACATCCTACCTGCTCAGTTCATAAAAAGAACTTGACCTCCTGCACTCTGACCCAGCTACCCCACTGTTTCTTTAAGAGTAATTTCTTGTATTTTGGTATCTTGGACAACCTGACATTATATTGATTTTTAAGAGCTCTTGCAATTTCTACTTCATCCTCCCACTCTTTTAAACCCTAGTTTAGGGTCAGGGATGCCTGCTGAGAATATTGCAAGCCAGAAGTATTTCATCTGAACATGGCTGCAAACTAAGACTCTACATACAGGAGAAGTGGTTTGGAGAGTTCCACAATTTCTTCCCTAAAGGGGATTCTGGAATAGAACTGTCAATGAGGAGAAACTGTTAGAGACAGGAACAGAAACAAGAAATTAACGAAATCAGATTCTGGTGTAGGTCTGAATGTTGGATCCTGTTACTCTTACTTGATAAGTAGATATACCATTTTAAACTTGAAGATAGTATTGAGTTGAGCTATGCATATTTGAAACATGTCTTAAGTTGCTTAATCAAATAAGGTTTATAACCAAGAGTGAGCCTTCAAGCACTCCAGGGAGATTACACCTCCTTGAGGGACTGCAAACCTTAGTCTTCTTCCAGCTCTCACTTCCCTCCAACTTAAATGTGCGGCTTTATCCTCAAGGAGCAATAGACCTGAGAAACATTGGGCAGTTCTTAAAAACTGCATTCCAGGTAGGAAAAAAGACTCAGGGCTAAGGGCAAAAGCTGACTCTATCCTTTCTTTTTTCATTAGGCTTTAAACATATGTGTTTTGAAAGCTGAACTGAGTAGCTGTCTGCCCACGTATCATTTCTGGAGGGATGTCACATGCTGTTGACATTTAAGTGAATAGCATGAAGAAATCTGATTCTTAGCTGTGTACTCACATATGACCATCTCTCAAAATAGATCCAGGTTTTAAAAGTAAGGAGAGAGGGTGGGATGGATACTGAATGAATGCCTGGCAGAGTCTGTCCCAGTGACAGGCTGAATGCTGTCAGAGCAATGGCTGCCGTTGGTGGTCAACCAAGTTGTCTGCTTTTTTCTGATCTAAAATTCCCCTCCACAGGGCAGTGAAACAGGATGGAGTGGTTTCCAGATCACTGTGCTCCAGGTCCATAATTTAAAATTACTAATTAACTCACAAACGGTTTGGAATCTGTTACTCACATAGGCACATACATGACAAGTAGGAGTCAACATAACTCCAGCCCTTAGCCTGTTTTGGTAAGTAACGTGTTGTTGGAACACAGCTACTCCCTGTTGTTGAAGTTGAGTCCTTGCAACAGAGACCTTAGGGCCTGGACCGCCACCCTGTAGACTCCCTGAGTCTTTCCAGAAGTCTGTCAAACCTCGTTGGTGAACCGACTTTTCCTAGTTCATGATGAGAAAGACAATTTGCTCCATATTTACACACCTCATGGGCTATTTCCCCAAGAGAAAGAGCCAGGTGAATGACAAAGTGGAAAAGTAGATAATGGTGAAAGAAAGACGTAACTCTATTGAGAAAATGTCAGTTTTATTTAACTGATAATAATAAATTTGAATGTCCAGAATGCATATGATGAGTCATTTAGAATTTCTATTAGAATGCTGACTTAGCTTTCATATGCCCAACTTCCTGAGGGAGTTTGACTGAATCAAGCTTCATTTTGTTACCAAAACAAGCCCTGGATATTCTCGCTCAATAAGATCCCATGGAGCTATCAAATGCACAGCTAATTTTGAAAACTCAACAAACTGAATCATTTCTTATTCCCAGCATGCCACCAGCATTTCTCACAAAACACCGCATCAGGCAGATGCAAGATTTGTGGTCTTTTCTAATGCCTTGCCCATCTTTGCGTGAAGGGACTACTGACCAAAGCAGTAAGGAAGATGTAATTAAGTTAGAAATATCTGGGTATCCAAGAGGAAAGAGTATCACAGCTGAATAATACTCAGTTTTTCCCGTGCACTAGCACTGATCATAAATCCTTTTCAATACTTCCATTCTGTTTTTGTTGTTTAAAAGTGTAACTCCATTTATTGAGTTGATTGCAGAAAACTTAAGTCATATGTCTGATTGCTAATTGCAGGAGCCTTGATAACTAAGGTTGCAGCCAACAGTATGTTTGAAAAGAAAGGATTATTAGGCAAGGCTGTGTAAGCATCATCTCCATTACTTCAACAATTATTCCCTTTCTTCAATAGACTGTGTTGTGTTTTTACAGCAGAATTTACTTTTTAAAAAATTTACTTTTTATTTATTCAAAGGGCAAAGTTAGAGGAGAGAGAAAGAGAAAAAGAGAGAGCAAGCTTCCACCCACTGGTTCACTCCCTCAATGGCCGCAACAGCCAGAACTGGGCTAGGCCAATGCCAGGAACTTCACTGAGGTCTCCCATGTGAGTGCAGGGGCCCAAGGACTTGGGCCATCTTCTGCTGCTTTCCCAGGCACATTAGCAGGGAGCTGGATCAGAAGTGGAGCAGCCAGCACTCAAACCAGTGCCCTTATGGAATGCAGGCATTGCGGGCAGCAGCTTAACCTGTTAAGCCACAGTTCCAGCCCCAGAAGATTTTACTTTTAAGTTTCTACTTTTCTGGATTATAAACAAAAGATACTTCTATAGGCCACAGTTGTTATTTTGTCAATGATAAGTGTCTCCGTGAAAAACAAATGATTCGATTAGAAATATACTATTTTAAGATTAATATTATTTAAAATACCAACATGCTTTGCTAATACTCAAAAAACAGGATTTTATAATTCTTTATTTTAATGATTACACAAACTTCTTGAGAAGATGTCCTAAATGAATATATTGCAACTAATATCAAATTCATATTTTAAAGTGACAACATACTTCA